GCCCCGCCAGCCCTCCGAGTCAGCCTCGGACCTCCACCGGCGCCGCCACCCTTTGCCCCCAGCTAGTTTTTCTGCTATTTTCTCTAGTAGACACCCGCGTTTCACCGCTGTTCCGCCGCGGCTCGGTCCTCGCTCCCTCTGCGACCCGTCGTGCTGCCCGCCCTCCCCCCGTCTCCCGGCATCCTGACAGTTGTTTCTTTTTAGAGTAAGCAAGAGAAGATTGCAAAAGCACACAAAAGATGGGAGAAGGATATCGTTTTTCAGTCATTCCTATTTATCCTACAAAATAACTATTAAAGTTCTGTCATTTAAGGCCTCATTGTTCACCTTCTCATGTTCTTTACACATTCTTTACTTCAGCCAACTTTTTGATGGCTCTGTGCTTGATTTGCACTGTTTCTTGATCTGGAAGACTTTTCCGTCATCTTCCCATATCTAATTCTCTATAATCTTTTGCTTAAATGGCACCGTTTACATGGGTGCTTTCTGTGTTCTTTCCAACAGAAGATAATTGGCCCTTTGCCTAATTCCCTAACATTTTATCTGGGATGTCTTCCCTCATCCCTGCTACCCTTTAAGGATTTGTTACTCTTCTCCTTAAAAGATTTTTTTTTTTTTTTTTTTTGAGGCAGAGTCTCTCTCTCTGTTGCCCAGGTTGGAGTTCAGTGGCATAATCTTGGCTCACTGCAACCTCCATCTCCAGGTCAAGGCAAAGTTGTCCTTCTTGTCTTACTTCAGCCTCCCCAGTAGCTGGGATTATAGGCGCCTGCTACCCGGCTTGGGTAATTTTTGTATTTTTAGAGGAGACGGAGTTTTGCTACGTTGGCCAGGCTAGGCTGGTCTCAAACTTCTGACTTCAAGTGATCTGCCCACCTGGCCTCCGAAAGTGCTGGGATTACAGGCGTGAACCACCGGGCCCAGTCTCCTTGCAAGATTTTATATACATATTATATCACATCCCTTGAATTGAAGCTCCATGAGATGAGGGTCTCTTTATTAAATTATCTTTGTTTCTCCCTCAGTGCCTAGCATCGGAAACAGTCAGTAAATATTTATTGAATTAATCAATACTTTTAGTTACAATACCAAAGCGGGGATTAGAAAATTTACTCATGTCTCTAGTTAGATTTTTTTCTACCATATTCATTCTAATTTTTGTATATAGTTAAAATAAATCAGCAAATAAAATACAGTATATAAATAAATACATAAATTGATTAAACCACGTTTTAGGCCCTATGCTTCGTACTAGAGACACAAAAATAAGCTATAAATCTAACCCTGCAAAACGTATGGTCTCCAGGGGGAGATATGCATACTAAATAAATAATTTCTATAAAGTATGAGGTAAATAATTAACTATGCATGATATATTTGTGTTCAGAGATGGGAGTCATTATGTCATGCATAAGGAAGGACACATTTGCCCTTTTGATTGCATCATGTTTTTCAGGAAGATGTATAAGAAAAGGCATTCTAGGCCAGATGTATGTATATAAAGATATACATACTTTTTATATATATATAGAGAGAGAGACTTTGTTTAGTATGAGTATTAAAAGTTTTTTCAGTGCAAACAATTGTTTAACAAAGTCTTCATTGTATATGATCACAATCAGTTGGGAGAATTGCATAAGGGTACATATGACATTCACTTGAATAAAGTAGTACTTGTATAGGACTTTCTCATGTTATGTTATGTTATGCTATGTTATGTTATGTTATTTATTTACTTTTTGAGACACAGTCTCACTCTGTCACGCAGGCTGGAGTGCAGTGGCACAATCTCGGCTCACTGTAACCTCCACTTCCCGGGTTCAAGCAATTCTTGTGTCTTAGCCTTCCAAGTAGCTGGGATTACAGGCGCCTACCACTATGCCCTGCTAATTTTTGTATTAGTAGAGACGATGTTTTGCCATATTGGCCAGGCTGGTCTTTAACTTCTGACCTCAGGTGATCCGCCCGCCTCGGCCTACCAAATTGTTGGGATTACAGGCATGAGCCACCACACCTGGACTTCATTATGTTATTTCATTTCACCCTCGTAACAGGAAACTAGCTAGGGCAAGTATCATTAGTTCTGTTTTTTTGGAGGAAAGAACTCAGGCTGAGAGAGGTGAGCTGGTTTCTTGTGGTTATACAGAGAGGAAGTGTCATAGTTTGACTCCAGGGCTCCTGATGGCAGGTTGGGTAGCACAAGTGCAGAGGTCTATATTTAAAATCTTCTGCATAACTATAAAATTACAAGACAATAAATTTGTTTTAAACCTTCATGGAGAAAATCAGGGAAGTTCTTTTATCATGGGCATGTTTTGATACTCCACTTCCACTGATTTTGATAGGTTTTACATTATATATGGAGTCAAGTTGCTACTTCATGGTTTGGGTTAGCCAGAAACTTCACCTAGCTTTCTCATTTTTCATTTTATTTCCTATTGTATATTTTTGTGGATAGGATATCAAAATAGCACTAGACGTTACCACTGAAATTAAGCTTATAAATTCTTGTGTTAATATCCAGCAGTTAACAGTACATCCTCCTGATACGCTCAGGAAAAAACAAAATGAATTGACATAACCAATGAATGGCATCTTGACATTTTTCTAGTACTTTGTGACAACTAATTTGCTGTCCACTGCTAATAAACTGAGGTAGTTTCCTTATTAAAAATATCTGAAGGCCGGATGTGGTGGCTCATGCCTGTAATCCCAGAACTTTGGGAGGCCAAGGCGGGCAGATCACAAGGTCAGGAGTTCTAGATTAGCCTGGCCAACATGGTGAAACCCTGTCTCCACTAGAAATACAAAACTTAGATGGCGTGTGCCTGTAATCCCCGCTACTTGGGAGGCTGAGGCACAAGAATCGCTTGAACCCTGGGAGGCGGAGGTTGCCGTGAACTGAGATTGGGCCACTGCACTCCAGCCTGGGCAACAGAGTGAGACTCTATCTCAAAAAAAAAAAAAAAAAGAAAGAACAAATTAAACTTTCAAGTTTATATAACTTCTTCTAAGTATTTCATTACACTGCTCTCTTATCAATAGCCACACATCACCGAATGTTTTAAAGTACTGCTTATTTCTGTTAGAGAAAAAGAGTTGTAAACCACCTACAGCTACTGCTGTAGTTATAAAAACTTCCTAAATGTTTAATAAGAGACTATTGGTGTTATTGTATAAGCTACTGCCACTCTGACTAATTTCTACATTGGCTTACTTGACTATAAGAGCATTAGGTTTTGGAAAGGAAAGACTTTGGTTTGAGTCTCTCATTTACACTTTTAAGCTGGCTTTGGGTTAATCATCTTATCATCTCTGTTTTCTTTATCTTTAAAATGGAGATAACCACGCTCATCTGCCAAAGAATGATGTTGACATTAGCATATGTCAAAAAGTTTCACTTAATGAAAATTATAGATGTTATTTGTTGTTATTGTTAAATCATACATGAGGAACGATGCCATCTACTTTGTCATTTTCAAGTGCAAAGGGTACGGCTGAATAGATAACATAAGCATATCCACACTCAAGCAGGCAGTGGAAACTGTATTAACAGTCTCTACTCCAAATCAAGATATATATGTGTAAACAGACATGTCAGCAAGGGGATACTTGATATGTTTTTTCTTTTTTAAAAGAATCACAGCTGGGCACGGAGACTCACACCTGTAATCCCAGCACTTTGGGAGGTCGAGGCAGGAGGATCACCTGAGGTCAGGAGTTCAAGACCAACCTGGCCAACATGGTGAAACCCTGTCTCTACTAAAAATACAAAAATTAGCCAGGCGTGATGACAGGTGCCTGTAATCCTAGCTGCTTGGGAGGCTGAAACAGGAGAATCACTTGAACCCAGGAGGCAGAGGTTGCAGTGAGCCGAGATCATGCCATTGGACTCCAGCCTGGGTGACAGAGTGAGACTCCATCTCAAAAAAAAAAAAAAAAAGAAAAAAAGAATCACTATCCCTGTGCCAGACAATAGCAGATTTTTAAGTGTATTCTTTTCGAATTCAACAGGAAAAAGCCACTAGGTCTGAGAACCACTGAGACTTTCCTAGCTCACAGGCTTGTTAGCTTTTGCCAAGGTTCAGTGGGGGTGAGGGGAGTATAAAATGAACAGTGCGCTGATGAGGTCAAGCAATCTTGATAGGTTGTGTGTTTGCGCATCCCCCCCAACTTAAGCTTTGATCTTGCAAAGACAGAGGGAAATACATATTTCACAAAATAGAAACATTCAGTTTTAGCTCTAAGTCTTACACTAGCTTTTGCTTACTGGGATCCCACTTTATGTACATCAGTGATTCCAATCCTCATCACATGCTGTAATCATCTGGGAAACTTTTACAAGCCCTAGGCTGCACTCCGGAGATTTGGATGTAGTAATAATTGGTAGAGTATTCTAATAGGCAGCCAGGATTGTGAACCACCAGTGTGGGCCAGTTTGATGTTCAAGCGGACAGTGCCATCTCTACCATTAGGAATGAATACTCATTATGTTGGAACTGGCAGCTTGAGTAGTCTCTGTATGTATCTCCATAAAGACATAGTTCAGACATTGTCTTTCTTCTGTCTGAATTTTTATTTGAACATTTGAATTACTCCTGGTTCCAATAAACCTAGAACTGGGAGCTGACAGTGTATTTGTAGAATAAACATCCCAGTGCTCATTTTTACAAACAATACCTTATTCTTTCCTTCTATTATTGCCATGCGCTGAGTGATGCTCTCAATTCTGTTTCCTATGTTGCTGTCAGGATCCAGGATAAAGGACTCTTCATTATTGGAACAAAAGTCATACCTATTTAAAAAAAAAAAGTTATCACAATGTGGCTTTACAGCATGGTTCAGTCAATGCGGACAGGTGAAATGAAAACTTGGTGTAAGTCCTCAGATAACAGAGTCACAAATTTTATGTGTGAGTCTTCTTTTCCTTAGGTTTTTTCCTATTTCATCCTCAAAACTTAAAAAATAGCAAATATATTTGGCTCATACTTGAAAAAAACCCCACACTAGTGTGTCACCATATATCCTTGTTCTAAATGTTAATATTAAGTAAAAATGCATAAATTTTAAAATTTAATAGCTAGATTTTAGTTTTTAGTGGAAGTAACATTCAAACACGGGAAAAATGAAGTTATGTTAATGAATAAAAACGTCAAGGAAATCATACCATTTTATATCTATAAAAAGCTGACTTTTAATCGGAATATGCAGTTGGATGGCTAATTTTTTCCAGGGCTAATTAAGTGTATATGGAAATAAACATCATGAAACAGTTATTAAATTCAGTCTATCTCTGCTCAAGTTTTGGGGAACTGTTCAAGCTCTCAGGCCTCAAGTGTTTAATTATAAAATAAAGGCGTTGATGTTATTTATCTCTGAGGTCCATGAATTCTCTCTCTGTTTTAAACATTTCACCATTTTGCATTCTGATTTTCTGGACTAGAATTTTTTTGAGCAGAAAACTTGCTGGTCTCTAATTTGTACATGTCTTGGGCAGATTCTGCAGATTTTGTAAACCAAGAGGAATTTTATTATTATTATTATTATTAGAGAGAGGGTCTCACTCTGTCACCTAGTCGAGTGTGTAGTGGTGCAATCATAGGTCACTGCAGCTTCGAACCTCTGGGTTCAAGCAATCCTGCCGCGTCAGCCTGTACCTGGGATTATAGGCTAAATGAAATTTTCAAGCTTCATTTCCAGAAAAAAATGAGTGGTTCGTCTTAAGTAGCCAAGAACAGGAATGACTTATGTGAGAGGAAAATGGGAGGCGCAAGTCAGTGAGAAAAAGGGAATGTAATCAGAAAAACGTTCTGTTACTACTCCTCTCTGGTCCTTGGGCTGAGAAGGAACTCCAGAGTGTTAAAATACCGCATCTGCGGGGGTACTTGCCCTGTAACGTCCTCCTGCAGAGTACTCACCACCTTTTAAGTGCTGACTTAATGGTTCTGAGTCCCCGCTGGGCCGACAGCTACAGGACAGGGGACAAATCAACGTATTCACTCTGTCCCCATAGCAGGGCAGGGCCCGAGCATGCCGTCAGCACCCCATAAACATTTGCACACATGCAGACAGGCACAGGTACCGGCATGTTGTTTTTGCTAAGAGTTTCTACTTGTTTTAATTGTTTGTCATTATCAAACACACCGAGAAATAGAGAGAATAGGGTGATATATCCCCATATGCCTGTCACCCAGATTTCATAGTTGTCAAAATTTTGTCACATTGGCTTCATCTATCCCTTCTTTTTTTTCTTCTGTGTTTTTTTTTAATTTATTTTTCAACTTTCTAGCCTGGCCAAATGAAGGATTTATGTATTTAAAACAAATCTCAGACATCTTGTCATTTTAGCCCTATCTACTTCAGTGGGTCCCTCTAAAAAATGAGCAAATTTTTCCAATATAACCACAACACTACTTTTACACCTAAGAGAATTAGCAATAATTCCATGGTGGTGTTTGCACCTAAACCATGTATCAGATTTCCCCAAATGTTTTTAAAGATGTCTTTACAGTTAGATTACAAGATTTAAAATTTGAAAAGAATGAATAAAAGGTGACCATTCCTCAAGGAATTTCTGCAGTTTTTACCCAGTATCATCCTTATAATAATCATCAGGTAAAATAAATGAACATTTTAATGCTTATTGATAAGTAAACTGAGCCAAAGAGAAATTATACACTTTCTCCTTTATTAGAAACATTTTAATGACAAAGTTTAAAAGTCATTATATTAGAGTCACTTTGCCCTATTTTTTCTTTATCCATATTCTCCATTTTCTAGACTATAACATCCCCACCTTAATTTCGTGTTAGACTTGCTGTCTTTCAAACACTCATAGTACAGTACTTATATACATGAGTATATATAATGTGCACATATACATGTGTATATACCTAGATTAGACATGCGCATATGTACTTGGGATTGTGACATCAAACAGCTAAAGTTCTCTTGCATCTGGAAGACAAGTTTTCAGATTTTATTCCTTTTCCCCCAAAGCAAGGAAAAAGATCAGGGAGGCCTTAGTCAAAGATCTTAATTTCATACTCCTGGGCTTTAGGAAATGCAAAGAAATATGTTAGAGTAAAGCAAGCCTGGATGTTTCTCAAGGGAAACACAGTCTGCTATCTGAGTTCACTTGGGGCTGTTGACCTCTGACACCCCACACCTCCCCCATCCCACACCCATGACTCTGAGGGCAGTTACTAAGGGCACAAGCCTTAGTATGGAAACTATAGGCCAGACTTATTGCCAGCTCTTCTACATAAAAAGGACAGATTCTGTGGCTATTTTCTAATTTAGGGGCTGTTATTTTTCCCTCTTTGTAATTGGGTCTATAAAAATAGAATGTCATTTAGAAGCCTTACTATATAACAGCACTTGAAAAGAGATTTAGGGGAGGGGAATGTGCCTAAGCCTTAAGAATACATCAAGCTCTTAAGGAAGTAGATTGTGCCATGTTTGAAGATGCAAAGATAATCACTGTGCTGGGAACTGTCTTGAGGGGGGAGGAAGCCGAACAACAAGAGGAAAGCAGCGTTCACTCCTGATTTCGCACAGGAAGTCCACAGCACCTCCTGCCAAAGCGAGATAAGAAAGCTCCCATGCACTATTCTGGACAAGGCCACTGTTATCAGCCTCAGCTCGGCGCTGTCCTCTCTTTGCTCCAAGCCTTGGTCCCTTTCCTAATGAGCTATAGGACTCCTACCTCCATTTGCATACAGCATGCCAAGTACAATGGCAGGGAGGTATTTATAACCCCTGAAAGAAAAACAAAAAAAATTATGGGCTAAGAGCGTACTCCATGTCATCTCTGCTGATTGCTCTGGACCTGAAACAACTTAGTTTCGGACTAGAGATTGATACAAATAAATTAAAAGAAAGCAGCCAATTCTGTTTCCAACACAAGGAGCTAGGGCCTCATGTGTGGTGTGTCAGCCTTCTACATTCCGAGTGGGAGCCGTCTGTGGAACTCCCCATCTGGTCTAAGTTACTAGTCTTCTTCTCTTGACACATTATGGGAAACTGCCACCCTCTATATATGCAGATGACACTACTGACCTACATGCTTTGGGCTGATTTTCTTGTAACGGTGATGAATTTGCCTTATTCCCACCACACTCAAAAATATTTGGCTTCTCTGTGACCAAAGACAGATGAAGGCAGTCTGGGGCCACAGAAAAAGGCAAAACCAACACAGAGGTCAAACCTACAATCTTTCTTTCTTCCTTTTTTTTTCCTTTCTGTCACCCAGGCTGGAGCGTGGTGGAACAATCTTGGTTCATTGCAGCCTTGACCTCCTGGTCTCAACTGGTCCCCCAGCCTCAGCCTTCCGAGTAGCTGGGACTACATGTGTGTGCCATCATGCCAGGATAATTTTTGTATTTTTAGTGGAGATGGAGTTTCACCATGCTGCCCAGGCTGATCTTGAACTCCTGGGCTCAAGCAATCTGCCTGCCTCAGCCTCCCGAGGTACTGGGATTACAGGTGTGAGCCAATGTGCCTGGTCAAACCTACAGTCTTGACAGTATGAGTGCTGGCAGAATCTGTACTCAGTTCTGGCTCATTTCAGAACCTGTGCACTTGACCCCAACACCATATGTAACATGATATCCATGTACTACCATCATATGACAAGAAATTATTATGCTTCAGTACTTCTTGGATATAGTAAGAAAAGACATCTCAAATATTCAGTATACAAACACCATTACTATGTTGAGGAGTCCATGTCTTTATTTTTTTTTTTAGCTCCTTTTGCATAACATGGTCAGTCTCCTTCCAAAATTTGCTAAACATCTCTCATCTTACACAATCAAAATATGTTGAATGACCAGTGCATGCACAGTCTGCAATTACAGTTTATATTACAGTTTCTATGAGAGCTCACTTTGTCACTCTGCAGTTCCTAAATTCAAGACAGGTTCCATTCACCTTTTCAAATCCAACACTCACGAAACGTAATGCACAATGCACACCCAAAGGTACTCGTTTGTTCACCTGTGCTTTTTCTTAATTGCTGGTTTTTAACAATTCTTATTTTTAGATTTTCTTCATTCCTCCTGCCTTCCTCTCCCCTCCCCCTACTTAAAGCTCAGAGCCAGTACTTTCTTTCCTTAGGGGGACAGACTGTCACATCTGGTGGAATCAGAAAGGAAAGCCCAGCTGGGTGAGCGTTAGCTGTGATAGTAAGTACTTGGGTTTTCTTTGAAGTGGTTCTCTTGTGAGAAAATGATCAATTCTCTTGGAGTATTGGGTGGGATGGTTCAACACTTCATTTAGCCTTTCTAGAAACTGTCCATCTGTTTAGTGCCTGTTATGGTACCCAAGACTCCTGTAGCAATCCAGTATAAAATTCTCATTTCATAAATGATTTCCTGCCAGTTTAATAACCACATTGATTCTAGAAGGTCTGCTCTACAGCCTTAGTCTTAAGACACACAGATTTGTTTTTAAAAAGGATCCTCTTTTAATAAATGATATTAAGCTGGCATTTCAAATCTCTGTTGTGCTCATATCTGATTCTTGGCTGCTTGAAGGGAAACAAGTTTTGTGAGCTGCTACTATGTGCTACTAAAGCCTGGGCTAGAAGCAATACACATTTTGCCTTAATTAGTTCTCACAGTCACCCTATGAAGCAGGTATTATGATCCTTATTTCGTAAATCCTTTTATCCATAAGGAAACTGAGACTCTTGAAAAATCAAATGCTTTGCTCAAGTTCACAGGGAAAGGAGCAGAATTAGGATCAGAACCCAGACTCTCCTCTTTTCACCATCCCAGAGCTCTGTCCATC